AAAAAAAAAAAAAAAAAAAAAAAGAAAAACTCAGGGGAGAGGAGAGTGTGTGTGTATTCTAGGAAGAGTTGGGAAGAAAGGGGTTGGGCCAGTAGTTTGAGTGAAGGCATTTATTTGAAAGCTGCGTATGCCAGTGCTTAGGAGTACTGTTACTGATGTGGGAAGCTACCAGCAAGCTGCCTCCCTGAGAGACAGAGCTTCCTCTGATGTCTATTGGAGAGTCCCATTTACCACCTTCTGATTGTTGGGACTTTGATGCCTCTTCCACTTCCTGTGAAATGTCCAGGCATTGCAGATACTGCTTCCTGTTCCAGAAAGCCCAGTCTCCTTGCCTTTGACCCAGGGCCATGAACAGGGAGCAAGATGCTCTGCGGGGAGAGGAACTTATGGGAGTTGCTCCCTAGTCTTCAGTGGCCCACAGGGGCAGAGAACAGTGAGTGAGATTGCTTCTCAGCTTCCGAAGGGGTGCCCCCAGTGGGGATGTGTGAGAAAAGGCCCTGTGAGTGTGTGGTCTTGGTTATGATCTGCCCTGGCCACACTCACAAATTGCTAATGGTGGGAGAGATGTGATTCCAGAAGCAGGAACTGAGAAACTATCCTCACTACTAGCGGGTCCCCAGTCTTCAACCTGTGAATTCTTCCCTCAGGGAAGTGGAAGTCCAAGGAGCCTCTATACCAAGAAAACCTAGATGCTCCTCAAGTAGCTAATCATAGAAAACCTTTTCTTAGCTGGGAGTGGTGGTGCACGCCTCTAATCGCAGCACTCGGGAAGCAGAGGCAGGAGGATTGCCATGAGTTCGAGGCCAGCATGAGTTACATAATGAGTTCAGAGTCAGTTTGAACTACAAAGTGAGACCCTGTTTCAAAAAAAAAAAAAATCAAACAAAAAAAAAACAGTGCTGGGGCTGGGGTATCTCAGTGGTAGAGTGCCTGTCCAACATGCTTGAGGTCCTGGGTTCCATCCCCAGAACCAAAAAAATTCGGTGTTAGCATAGAGTAGTAGTTAGTGCCCCCGCTCCTAAACATAAAAGAGCATATGCTATTCTGGGCTTGCTGGAATCCCAGTTCCTGTCTATGCAGCCTACCCAATCCAGATCAAATGGGGCTCTATCAGGACACCAAGAGGCCCTTTGGCAACTGCTGTTGGCCAACTAGCAAGACCCTTAGTTGGTGTGTTGCCTACCACTTCCTCCTTAGGGCAGATTCTCCTGTGGAGCCACAGCTTGAGATGTCCCCCGCCAAGGCTAGGTGTGCAGGAAAATGGCCTCTACTGCCCTTGGGCCATAGGGAGGCCACTTCTGGAGTTGCCTGGCCATTAGGGAACAGAGAGCTAGCATCCCATCTCCTCAGACTCCCCCTCTTCTTAGAGCTTCCTGAGCCTCCTCCGCATTGTCCTCTGTTGGTGCTATCCTGACCAGGATTGGGTATCTGCCACCCAATTTTGTGCTCTCTTCTTGCTGCCCTTGCTTTTTGTTACCCTGGAGGCCTGAAGGGTGGGAGGTGGGCTCCCCAGGGGTCTTGGCACCGAACTACCGTGTATGTGCTTTTGTGTGCGCATATGTGTCCTTTCATGCTCCAGGTTTGACTTTGAGGGTCTGGAGAGTGGTGATGATGGTGCATTTGACAAGCTCCGGTCCTGGAGCAGGTCAATCGAGGACCTGCAGCCACCCAGCGCCCTTTCGGCCCCCTTCACCAACAGCCTCGCTCGCTCTGCGCGCCAGTCTGTGCTCCGGTATGTGCGCGCTCGCTCTGCCCTCCTGCCTCCCACCCCAGCCCCAGCCCCAGCCCAGGTCTCAGTAACCTCGGTGAGTGCTCATGCTCCTCCCTCCACTCTTGCTTCCAGGCTCAGCTCTCTTGCCTTCTGCCTGCCAGTCTGTCTCTGGTCTGTCCTCTCTCTCCTTGACTCTGCCCAGCGGTCTGTCCTGGGTAAGTATGTGGTCCTTAGCTGTGCCACCCCATCTGGGGTTCCAGCTCTCCCCCTCCTCCATTCCTCACTGTCTTGGCCATTCTTCCCCAGCTACTCATGCGGGAATTGGGCTTCACTGGCTGAACCAGCTCTTGCCTTCATGTCTGTTTCCCTCAAGCACTGGACCTTCTCGTCAGCTGCTCAGAGACCAGCTCCCATCCACCCGCCTGCCTCTTCCCTTTCCTTCTTCCTTCAGGCCTTTTCTCTCCAAGGCTGCTGCATTCGTCTGTGGTGTCTCAAGAGGCAGACAGATGGATAGGATGATTCACAGAGCTCCTGCTGCCTCCGGAGGCTGTCCTTTGGGCCATGTAGCCCTTTCCTTGGCCTCTCTCTTGTGGCTGTGCTTTTCTCCTACTTCTTTGGGTTTTGTTCTTCAGACATTGCTCATCATTCTAGTCATGAGAAGCATATGTGCTTCCCTTTTTTTTTTTGTCTCCGTGAAACATCATGAAGGTGTTGGAGTGGTGATACAAAGTCAGGAGTAGCTGCCTGGCCTTCCTAAGCTTTGGGGATCTGTTCTGCTTCTACCCCGTGAAATATGTAGAAGATGCAGCCACTAGAAGGGAGGAGAGGGAAGGCTCAGATGAGTGTCTCTCTCGGTATATTTCAAAGACTCAAAAGGCCTTGAATACTGCCATGTGTACTTTGAAGACTCTGGGTTTAGAGTGGTTTGGGCGCTGGTTATGAAGCTGAGATCCTGGGCAGTTGGTGAGAAGGGTCTGTCCCAGGGAGGTGAACACAGGCTGACTGCCCTGCCTCCTGCACCCTGTCTCTTGGCTGTAAGTACGAGATTCTCCTCCCCCTATTTCTGCCACTGCTCAGGGGCCGCCTGCTGTCTGGTTGATGGTGAGCACTCCAAGACCATTCAGCAGTGACCTCAGTCCCCACCTGACTGCCTGGCCTGGCCCTCTCCCCCAGGTATAGCACTCTCCCTGGACGCAGGGCCCTGAAGAACTCCCGCCTGGTGAGCCAGAAGGATGATGTCCACGTTTGCATCCTTTGTCTCCGAGCCATCATGAACTACCAGGTAAGGGTTTGCACCGTCCGCCTCTTCTGCCTCATCTGCTGAAGCAGTAGAGCTAGCACGCACCAGCTGGTGAGAGAGAGGTTTGCTCGACGGCCTGCAGCCATGGAAATCTGCTGGGCTCTCCCTTCCCCACCATCAGGGTTCCCTCCTTTTGTCCTTTTTCTGCAGTATGGCTTCAATCTGGTCATGTCCCACCCCCATGCTGTCAATGAGATTGCACTTAGCCTCAACAACAAGAATCCAAGGTGAGTCCTCCACCCTGCTCCAGGGCTTTGGAGATCTGGGCTCCATTTGTTCCTGACAAGTCCATTCTGGCCTTGGGGTCCTCTAGCCAGGGTCAGAACCTTCATTTGTCTCCCTCCCCTCTGCCGGGAAAATGTCTCTGGCTTCCCTCTGGTCTTCATAGCAATGAGGGAGCAAGCCTTCCTCCCTGCCCTTTTTTTTTTTGGTACCTGGGATCGAACTTGGGACCTTGCACTTGTGAGGCAGGTGCAGTGCCACTGAGCTAAGTCCCTGGCTCTCCCTGCCTTCTTTCTAAAACCCATCCCCACCCTTTGTCCCAAGGCATTCTCCAAAGGACTCTGCCAGCCATGAACATGAGCTGTGTGGTAGCCGGGATGGGAAGCTGGGTGCTAATCTTCCTTCTTTACCCCTTAGGACCAAAGCCCTGGTCTTGGAGCTCCTGGCAGCTGTGTGTTTGGTGCGGGGAGGTCATGAAATCATCCTTGCTGCCTTTGATAATTTCAAAGAGGTCAGTCTTCTGCCTGCATGTGTATTTTTTTATCAGGGGAGAAGACAGGGAACCAGTAGGTAAGCACCATCACCTGTAATCTCCATGATTTTACCATCTTACTGCTTGGCTGAGCAGGCTGCTCTCCAGAGCAGTATTAACACTAAAGTAAAACTGGAGGGGCAGGGGTTTAGCCTGCCTCGTAAGCACAAGGTTCTGAGTTCAATCCCTAGTACCAGAAAAAAGAAAAACTGGAACTTCAGTATTGCTAGATCTCATGCCAGGAAACCTCTTGATTAGCTAAGAATGCTGTAGGCTGTGATGAGTGGTCCTAACCTGGCCATCAGAGTTGTCTGAGCAGCTTGCTGTGCCGCCACTGCACACTCACTCAAGCCTGGCCATCTGTCTACACTGAGACTCCGAAAGTAGTTCTCCTTCAGTGAACACATGGGCGGAACCCAGAGCAGAAAGATGTTTCTCTCCTCCATTGGTGAGGAGAAAAGGAGCTCCTTTGTGGAATTTCCCAAGCTCCTGGGCCTGGCCTCATAACCCTAGTCGCTTGAACATGGGATTCCTCGACATCCAGCCACAGCTGTGGTTCCACCCCTTCCTTCTCTCCACACCTCTTCCCTGACATCCATTGTTCAAGCCAGGAAATGGCTCTTCCTCCGTGAAGCCCAGGACTCACAGGAGCCTCTGGACCCCTCAACAGAGGGCTTTCCTGCACACTGGCCCCTCCTCTGTGTCCCCTAGGACCTCAGCCTTCTGCCTCAGCCCTGGCCTGACTCCCTTTTCTCCTTCCTTCTGTAACTTGGCAGCATCAGACCCCTGTGTTTCTAATTGACCTGACCTCAGAGACACCTAAAACCTAGCTTGAGGGCACAACAGAGTTGGTACCAGATACCCATGGTCAGGTTCTGGGTCCCAGGTTTTCTGTCCAGAATAGGGAGGTGAAAGGGACATAAGAGGATTAAGATGTGTTGCCAAGCGTGGTGGTACACGCCTGTAATCCCAGCACTTGAGAGTCTGAGGCAGGAGGAGCGCCACAAGTTCGAGGCCAGCCTGAATTACAGAGTGAGACCCTGTCACACACACACAAAAAGATGTGTTATGTGTATGTACCAACTTCCCATGAAGAATGTAATTATGTATTGCAAACATGTACTAATAAAATTTTTTTAAAAATATAGTGTCCAGAGCGGCCCATTCCCTACATAGAATTATGGTTAAACTTGGTCTGAACAAGTGCTTTTGACATGGTGTTCCTGGGAGCCAGTCCTCGGGAACTTGGACTCTGTGAGAAGTATACATCCTTTCCCTGAGAAAGTTTGCTCATTCAGGTGTGCAAGGAGCTGCACCGCTTTGAGAAGCTGATGGAGTATTTCCGGAATGAGGATAGCAACATTGACTTCATGGTGAGGAGGTGGGCTGGGGGCTGGTGCATACCCAGGCAGGCTGTGAGCTCCCTAAGGATGGGGCCATGCTGATGTGTGTTGCCATGCCCTGCTACTTCCTCAGGTGGCCTGCATGCAGTTCATCAACATTGTGGTGCACTCTGTGGAGGACATGAACTTCCGGGTCCACCTGCAGTATGAGTTCACCAAGCTGGGGCTGGAGGAGTTCCTGCAGGTAAGCTGGCCAGTGGCTGTGAGGTGAGCCATGTGGGGAGCCAACTTAGACACATCACAGAGTTGCTTTTACAACAGCCTAGTCCTGGGTGCTTCTGGAACGTGCCTATCTTCTGTGGCTTAGGACTCCGGTCCATCAATAGAGGTCTTGGGCTGGGCATTTAGCTTGGTGGCGCTGTGCCTGCCTTGCAAGTGCAAGGTCCTGTGTTCAATCCCTGGTATCACACACACACGCACACACACACAGAGGTCTCCCCCTCTAAGATGGCTGATGGCTCCTTGCACATTGATGCTGATGAGGCCAACAGCAAGAAGTCCCTGGCTTGTGCTCTAGAAAGTGGTAGTGAAGGGTAATCATAACTAAGATTCCCAGGACACTGCCCTGATCCTTCTGGCTCCCCCAATTACTACTCTCTGCTTTTCTCCCAGAAGTCAAGGCACACAGAGAGCGAGAAGCTGCAGGTGCAGATCCAGGCATATCTGGACAACGTGTTTGATGTGGGGGGTTTGTTGGAGGATGCTGAGACCAAGAATGTAGCCTTGGAAAAGGTGGAGGAGCTGGAGGAGCATGTATCTCACGTAGGTGGCCTCTGCTTGCTGGAGCCGCGTGGAGGGTGGGGACAACTGAGTTCCAGAATCTTGAGCTGACACACTTGGCTCCAGATTGAACCCCGGGAAGGCTTTAGAGCCCACTGGGGCTCTTTAGGGTCTGCTCTGGCTTGAGCCACTTGACTACTCACCATTGGAACACAGACTGACCTCCAGGGCTGGGCTTGAGGTGACCCTAGGCTTAGCGCAGAAAGCTGTCATTTGCCCTGTATTTGTTGCTTTTCACATGGTGTCAGACCCTGGGCCCACAGCCATGATTTAGGGAAGCTACCTGACCAAGGTGCCTTTGAGGCCTTGTTGGGGGTTTGGGCCCAGGTCTCACCAGGCTTCTGGCTATGCTGAGTGCCCAGGTTTTAGGGATGGTACTGAATCTGCCCTGCCCTTCCTGCAGCTCACAGAGAAGCTTCTAGACATGGAGAATGAGAACATGATGAGGGTAGCAGAGCTAGAAAAGCAACTGCTCCAGCGGGAGAAGGAACTGGAGAACATCAAGGTACAAAGTAATCATGGGAGAGGCCCTGACTTCCCAGGTGCTCCAGTGCCTCAGGATCGTGCTTCTCCCTCTTGAGTCATGTCAAGGAAAGAGAGAGAGAGAGAGAGAGAGAGAGAGTGTGTGTGTGCGTGTATGCGTGCGTGCACGCATGTGAATACATCTGTGGTACAAGGCCTTCTGAGCTAAATCCTTCTCTGAGATACATCCCCAGCAATTTTTTTTTTTTTTAATTTTGAGACAAACTTGCAGTTCTTCTGCATCAGCCCCTCAAAGTTTTAGGATTACAGGTATATGTCACCACCCCCAACTTCAAGGAAAGATCTTGGTTTATTCTTGAGGTACTCGGATAAGGGTGGACTGGTGATTTCACCATGTTTTAGTTGGGGAATGAAGCTGAAGCCATAGTGGGCCGGATATACACGGAAGAGAGTGGGAATGGATGAGGCATGCAGTCTAGGCCTCTACCTCCCTCTCATGCTGCTGTTTTTCCCTCCATGTGGTCCCCCATGTTTACCGAGCAGGGGCAGGATAGCCTATGTGCTCTGCCTGTTTATTAGGTTGCCTACCAGGAATCTTAAATCAGGAGCACAGGCATTCCTCCTATTTCAGTCTCTGTCCCCACACCTACCTTTTCTTTCAGAGGAACACAGGCTGCCTCCACTAGGCCCAGACTGATTCTGCCCAGCCCCCGCTTAATATAGTATCGGGAGTGGTGGAGAACACAGAGATGACTAAGGCAGGGCCTGTCTGAGGGTCTTACAAGTGAGTGACAATACAAGACCAAAAGAAATAGGACCAGTGAGGACTTGTGGTGAGAGCAGCTGTGTCAGACTGGAAATGGCCAAAGAGTCTCACTGTCATCCTTTTGGACCTTGAGAACTGGTGTAGAGGGAAGCACTCCTCAGGGTGCCAGGGAAGGCAGTCTAGCTCTTCTGCTCACTGTTTCTGTTCTGCTGCACCAGCTCCCCTGCTCCCCACCTGTAATTCTGCTCCCAGTACCCTCACAATGACCTGCACTGTGTGTCCCTTGGGTAGGAATTCTCCTAGGAGTAAGGATTACTATGCTGTTAGGTCACTCTTCCCTCACTGGCACTGTCCGCTTGATAGGAGACGTATGAGAACACAAGCCACCAGGTGCACACCCTGAGGAGGCTCATTAAGGAGAAGGAAGAGGCCTACCAGCGCCGATGCCACCTGGAGCCAAGTGTCCGAGGCCTGGAGTCCATGGCAGGAGAGGCCCTGGCCAGGGTAGGCCTTGCAGAACCGAGTGAGGGTGGACCAGCCTCTGACCTGGACCTTCTGGCTCCGGGCCCACCTGCCGGGGAGCCTCTTCCTCAGCCTCCACCCCCAGCTCCTCCCTTGCCGCCACCCCCTCCCCCATTACCAGGTAATCAGGATTCCTGGCTTTTAGGGGCAGTCTCAGTGTGGGGGCAAAACCCTAGTAAGGGGTCAGCAGGGAAATGGCATCATTTGAGGTCTGGAAGAGTATCAAGTTAGGGTTAGAGGGCTGAGGAAGGGACCAGATCCAAGGAGCTCAGGTTGCTAGCACAGGGTGCACGGTCAGCTGTTTCTTGCTCCTGATTACTCTCAAGACTGCAGAGGAGAGGTGAGAGGTATAGCCCTTGATCAGTTAGGACTCCTGGGGAACCCTTGAGCAGAGCTCACAAAACCTGAGGGTCTTGAAAAATGAGGTAACAGGCAGAGGGGTGGGTGGCCTGGAAAGAGTCCTGTGATTGGGTTACTGTGCTGTTTCTTCTCCCCCTAGACAAGTGTCCCCCAGCTCCACCTCTCCCTGGCGCTGCTCCTTCTGTGGTCTTGACAGTGGGCCTGTCGGGTGAGTGTCTCCTGGGCTCTGGGGAGGGGTAGTGGGACCAGGGGAATGTGTCCTTAGTCCCTGCCTCACTGATCTTCTTTCCAAATCAGCCATTCGCATTAAGAAACCTATCAAGACCAAGTTCCGGCTACCAGTCTTCAACTGGACAGCCCTGAAACCCAATCAGATCAGTGGCACTGTCTTTAGCGAACTCGATGATGAGAAGATCTTGGAGGTGACAGGGTCTGGGGCCCAGAAAGGTGGGCTTGGGGGCTGGGAACCAAGTTGTCCTTTTAGCCAGATTCTGTGGACTGGGAAGAGCCCAATGTCAGCTCCATGAGTCAGAGCTGGCACCATACCGGGCCCTAACACCAGTGAGTACTCTCATAGTAAAAAGCCGTAGCATTTTGCCTTCTTGTCTGTGCCTGGTAGGACTTGGATCTAGACAAGTTTGAGGAATTATTTAAGACGAAAGCACAGGGGCCTGCCCTTGACCTCATCTGCTCCAAGAACAAGACCGCGCAGAAGGCTGCCAGCAAGGTGACACTGTTGGAAGCCAACCGTGCAAAGAACCTGGCCATCACTCTGCGCAAGGCTGGCCGCTCAGCTGAAGAGATATGCAGAGCCATCCACATGTGAGCCTCTCACTGACCTAGCCTTGGTCCCCAGCCAGTTGGCAACACAGTTCTCCACCCAGAAGTCTAGCATTCCCTAAATGCTAGTGCTCTGACAGAATTCCCTCACACCCCTGAGCCATCCACTGGCATGACCAGAAATGTACGCCAAGCGGGCATTGCGTGAGGTGCTAGAGATTCACTCCAGACCTTACCCAAGGAGCCCCTAGACCAGTGAGGATGGTGCAGCAATATTGAGCGATACGACCAAGATGGCAGAGGGCAGGAAGTGGGAGCCACAACTGAGGTCGGTGATCAGGTACATCACCTATCCCAGTTACGTCTCAACTAGGCCTGAAGGAAGTGCACATCAGCCCAGTTCAGGGCCTGGAAGGAGGAGTGTGGTGCTTTGGATACTGAAAATGGAATCTGGCTTTAGGGAGAGGAGTAGGAGAGACAGGGTGGAGAGGTGGGCAGAACTCTTACGGGTCGTGCTTAGGTACTTGGTCTTCACCATAGCTGAAGAGGAAAGACATCACAGGGTAGCATGGAGAGTTTCCCTGGACCATGGCTGGCCCTGGCAGATGAGGCAGTGGTACTGCAGAGCTCTGGCTGTGTCCTTCAGTCCCCCAACTCCAGATGTCCTTTCTCCTACACAGGTTTGATCTCCAGACACTGCCCGTGGACTTCGTGGAGTGCCTGATGCGATTTCTGCCCACGGAGGCTGAGGTGAAGCTGCTGCGGCAGTATGAGCGTGAGCGGCAGCCCCTGGAAGAACTGGCGGCTGAGGACCGCTTCATGCTGCTGTTCAGCAAGGTGGAGCGGCTGACCCAACGAATGGCTGGCATGGCCTTCCTGGGCAACTTTCAGGACAACCTGCAGATGCTCACACCGGTACAGCCCTTGCCTGAACTGTGGTTCTGAAGCTGCCCCTCTACCCTCCCTTTCCTGACCACCTCACCTTCCTTGCCGCCCTCTTCTCCCCGACTTCACCCCATTTGCCAGCCTGGGCTGACTGGGGTGTTCATCTCTTCTAGCAACTCAATGCCATCATTGCAGCCTCTGCCTCTGTCAAGTCCTCGCAGAAGCTGAAGCAGATGCTGGAGGTGGGGAGAGGAGCGAATGGGGTGCTAGTGGTTCCCAGGTCCTGGGTGGGAGCCTTGGGGCGTGGCCTGACCTCCCTCCCATGTATCTCTGGGACAGATCATACTTGCTCTGGGGAACTATATGAACAGCAGCAAGCGAGGCGCTGTGTATGGCTTCAAGCTGCAGAGCTTGGATTTGGTAAGGTGGTGGTGGGGACAGCATGGGCAGGAAGCCCGAGGGCGGTAGTGGTGAAGCCAGCGTGTTTAGCTCTGTGGCACTGCCCCTCCCTCCCCAGCTTCTGGATACGAAGTCCACTGACCGGAAGATGACACTACTGCATTTCATTGCCTTGACGGTGAAGGAAAAATACCCAGATCTGGCCAACTTCTGGCATGAGCTGCACTTTGTAGAGAAAGCTGCAGCAGGTGAGGAGACCTCGGCTGTCCTCCGGTCCATCCCAGGACTATCCCAAGAAAGGAGAGGGAACACTTGGGTCCATTTGTTTCTTTCATCTTCTGACTACTTCAGAGCTTTCTGCTAGAGCCATGAGCAGGGGGTACCCTGGAGGGAGTAGGTCCAGCCCAGCCCTTCTCAGCTCTTCCCAGATAGGTGCCATGAGAGCAGGAAGGAGGGCAATAGCTCTTTACTCTCAATTCCTTCACTTAAAGACTGCATTTCCTATGTGTGTGCAAAGTAATTGGAAGAACCATAAAGCCCTTTATAGACATGAGGTAGCTGTTATTTCTGTCCTAGCCATGAAAACTGGGTCAGGCCTGAGGCAGCTCCACTTAGGACACCAGCAGCCTCTGTGACTTCTCTTCTTTTGCTACCTTGTTCTTTTGGGACCAAGGGCTCACAGCCTCCACTCCTTTCCCTTGCCGCTGTGGAGCCTCAGCTGGCCTGTTGCACACTTCACTTCCGTGTCGTGTGACAATTTGTCGAGGGGGAGGGCATGTTTGCTGTAGCCCTGGGCTGGGAAGTGGGCATGTCGGACAGGCCTCAGCCAGGCCTCTGGTGACCACAGTGTCCCTGGAGAACGTGCTGCTAGACGTGAAGGAGCTGGGCCGGGGCATGGAGCTGATTCGGCGGGAATGCAGCATTCATGACAACAGTGTCCTTCGGAGCTTCCTCAGCACCAACGAAGGCAAACTGGACAAGCTCCAGCGTGATGCCAAGACAGCTGAGGCAAGCAAGGGATGCGGGGAGGACCTGGCCCAAGCACCACACCTCTCAGGTTGGGCCTGCCTCGGGTTATTAGGCAGCAGACCAGCTATCTGGGGGGGTAAGGATTTTGGGGGTGTGGCAGTAGCCACCTCTGGAGAAATATACTCTAGAGATTTGGGGACCTCACATTCTCTCCAGCTCCCAGGGCCTGGATGGTTGGTTTCTTTTCAACCTTGGGCTCTGATTTCCATGGGCCTTCTGTCTCCTGGTGTGGGAGCTGACCCCATCTCCCCCACTTTTCCCAGGAAGCCTACAATGCAGTTGTGTGCTACTTTGGCGAGAGTCCCAAGACCACACCTCCTTCTGTATTCTTTCCAGTATTTGTCCGATTCATTCGTTCCTACAAGGTAAGCTGGAGATGCTGGGGATTTAGCTCAGTGGTGCTGCCGCCTGCCTCACAAGCACAAGGTCCTGAGTTCGGTCCCAGGCATTAAAAAAAAAAAAAGAAAAAGGAGTTTCCTTCCAAGGTAAGGTGGAGAGAGTTAAAGAGGAGTTTGTCTGACAGAAAACTGGTTAGGGGAGAGAGGTCTTGGGGCTTCCAAGTCTGGGCCTCTTCCAACTCCTTTGCGTCCTGGGGAAGAGAGCAATGGATGCTGGCGACAGGCCTCTTAGCTGTGAACTGGTGGGCAGGGTGGGGGCCCAGGCCCTTCCTGTAATTGTTAGGGGCAGGAAGTGCCCCTCCAGAGGGTAGCCACCTGGGGTTAGCTGCTCCCATTGCCACCCACTGTCTGTCCTCAGTGTCAGCCCCTCCCCTCCCAGCCTGTGTGAGCCTCACCCCCACCTACGGTCCTTAGGAAGCAGAACAAGAAAATGAAGCCCGTAAGAAGCAGGAGGAGGTAATGCGGGAGAAGCAGCTGGCTCAGGAAGCCAAGAAGCTGGATGCCAAGGTGGGTGGACCTTTAGCTAGCCTAGGGGCAGCAGAGAGCTAGAGAGGAAGTGGAAAACTGGAACAGAGAGATCCCCAGAGGGCCTAAGGGCCTGAATTCAGAGGGACAGGGAATAGGGCTCTGGGAGGGGGATTCCTAGCAGTGTGCAAGTGCATGTCCACATTGAGGCCTCAGGTTAGTGATGATTCCTTCCTGCTTCAAAGACCCCATCCCAGCGGAACAAGTGGCAACAGCAGGAGCTAATTGCAGAGTTGAGGCGGCGCCAGGCTAAGGAGCACCGGCCTGTTTATGAGGGGAAGGATGGAACCATTGAGGACATCATCACAGGTACAGATGGCCCTTTACCCTCCCTGGAACCTGGCCATTGGGCCCAGCCTAATCCCCTTGGCCCTATTCTGCCTTATACCGCATGAGGCCTGACCCCTGTCTCTCTCCTGGGCCACAGTGCTGAAGAGTGTCCCTTTCACGGCCCGTACTGCCAAGCGGGGCTCACACTTCTTCTGCGATGCAGCCCACCATGATGAATCAAACTGTTAACCCCCAAGGCTGGGACCCCTGACAGGTACCGGGCACCACAGCTGCCCCTCTGCATGCCCACTCCCCCAGAGTCCTGCTGGAACTCACAGGCACATCCCCTGCATGACTTGGAACCATCCCCTGGCAGCCTTCCAGTGATGGGGACACATACTTCTGCATGCTCCATGCTCTGAGAAGCATGGCTTATCCCCTGCATGTGCCCTCGGGAAGCGGTATCTCTCCCAGTAACGCTTTCATGGCTTCTGCTAAGACGGGCTAGGGAGTTGCCAGGCTAGGGTTGGGGGCTCTTTCAGCACAGCCAGGACCAAGCCTATGGTTTTCATCACCTAAGGATCCTGAGTCTTTGCCTTCCTCAAGAGTTCCCTCTAAAAGCTCTGGCAACAGCTGATGCTCACAAATAGCCAGATGGTCCTTATCTCTGCCTCCTGACATCCAGGGTCTCTCCTCAGCTTTGAATCTTCCCATGTCAACCCTGTCTCCTTAGCCTCTAGTTCCCCGTCACCACCACCACCACCACACTTCATGGCTGGCTCCGCTCTGCCCTGCCGTGGGGCCACAGTCATGCTCAGCTGCCCTGTCTTCCCCACAGGCCTCCAGTACCAGCCCATTGTTCACCAAGCCGGGAGTGCTGCACTACCCAGTGGCCCCCCTCGGGCTCCAGGCCCCCACTGAGACTCTTGGAGGCAGAAGCGCTTCAACCCTCAGTCCTGCAAGTCTGGCCAGTGGACCTGAAGCCAGGGGCCCAGCAAAAGGCTGTGCTGTGTGCTCAGCTGTGCTACCCTCACTCTCGGGCTGGGTCTTAACCTGTACGGCAGTGAGTTCTGTAGGGGCTGGGCACTTCCCTTGTGACTCCAGTACTGCACTTTGTCCCCGTACTCAGCAGCATTTCCTGAAGGGTCACCAAGGATCAGCTGAGGGCTTGGGAAAATACTTCCAGCTTTAACCTACACAGGGGCACCTAGGCCTCTCTCCTAGAGCCCCGGGGGATAAAAGGAGAAAGCCCTCTTCCCTGTTTCTCCTTTCCTTGTTGCATGCGCAACTCTAGAGTGTTCAGGCTTCAGGGGCCCTGGACCCCCGCCCACCTGGGATCACCTGCACCCTGGTGATAAGGGTAGGAATGGTGCCCCGCTGCTGTCCTTCCCTTGGCTCCTTCCAGTCTAGGATGCTGTGGTGGGCGGAAGAGCAGACTGTCTCTGCACTGGCCCCGTGACCCCTAGAGAAGAGTGTGCCAACCACCTCTGCTGGGCTTTTTTGGCAGAGGGCAGGAAGTATGATCCTCACAGACCATTTGTCCAGTTCACTGCAGTTTCTTCTCAGTCCCTGGGAAGGGAATGCTGGGGCCTCCTCTTTGTACATGTACTGCTTCCCTTTCTCTTGTATATAAACCCCAGACCTTCCCTCTCTCAACAAAAGCTTGAAGCACCAGGCTGTCTCCTCTTTCTGGACTTGGTTGTGGGGGGGATATGGGGGATGTGGGGGTTGGTTGGTCACATCCCCTTGGGGTAAAAGCAGCTCAGAAGCCTGGGGAAAGGAAGAGCTGGATGGGTGGTCTCTGACGACACAAAGGGAGGCAGGCCTACGTGAGACACTAGCGCCCTCTCCTGGACATCTGCCTGTTCAGGCCCCAGCCTGCCCCAGTAAGTAGCAAATGAAAACAAAAATCACTGACCGTGTTATAAATATTATTTATAAAACAAAGAACACATACATCGGGTCCCAGGGCTGGAGGAAGCAGTGGTGGAGCCCTGGGGCAGGCAGGAGCAGGCACTGACGCTAGAGGAAGAGGACCCTGCCCTCTACCACCTAGCCCGTCTCTTCCCTGGAGACCCCTGCACTCACACTGTACCTACTGGCATCGCGTCACCCCACATGACACAGACCCCCGTCTGTGGTCTGGGGCTGAGGGAAGGACTGTACTAGTCCAGGAAGTGAGGGACCCTTGAACACCAAAGCAAACCTTGAGAGGTGCCACAGTGGTGTGTGGGGGTGAAGTTACTTTAGGAAAAGTGGACACAGACCAGATGAAGAAAGGAGTCTGAGGCACAGTGAGGGTGGCCCAGGAGCCGCTGCCTTACACAGGCCGGGTCCAAGGCAGAGAACAGCTTGTTGGGTCACTGGTGGTCATCCAGCTGCTGTAGAAGCGTCCGCCGCCGCCTCTCCAGCTCTCCCTCACTCAGCTCGCTTTCTGATGTGTCCCAGCCTGTCTGTTGAACAAAGGCACAGCTCACCCCAAGTTCCCAGGTCAGAGCGCTGCCTGGCCACCACTGGGCCCCATCTCGCACCTTCTCCTTCTTGCCTCCAAAGCCTGGGGAGCGGTTAGGAAGCTCCACCTGCCGATGTTCCTTGTCCTGTTCTTGTTCTTTCTCTTCACTCTCCTTGGCAGCTCTCTCCTCAGGGTCAGTTTCACTCTCAGGACTGTTCTGTAAGAGTCCAAAGCCCACCTTAGCTCCTTTACAGGACAACTGGGAGGTGCAACAGAGCCCACAAAATAGCATGACCTTGGGCAGAGTTTGTTTTCTACTCACCGACTTGTGTCTTCTTTTCTTAGTTTTCTTTTTTGGTTTCTTGGCTTTCCGAAGGCCATGATCTGGAGATAGAAAAATCCCTACTAACTCTCACAGGGAAAAAGGAGGACTCATCCTTTTCCCTACCACAGCCCTCCGTGCATTCTCTGCAGATAAGAGCTCATGGTCTGAAAAAGGCTCAGTCATTTCCCTTCTGCCCAGTTTTTTGTCTGGGCAATGAAAGGAAGTTCCAGCTCTCCCAGGTCAGCCTTCCCCATCCAGTCCTCCCTGAGCGGCAGCTCCTAGACTCCCAGCAAGTAACTGCTCACCTGATGCAAGAAGGTGGGAGGGTGGAGAGCCCCGTCCGCCAAGGGCAGCACCCCCACTTTCAACTGAATCAAGTGAAGATGAGGGCTCAGAGCCAGACTCTGAGGGGTTCCGCCTCTTTCGCTTAGGGGGCCGCAGGGATGGTCGGGGCAGCTCCTCCTCTTCTGACTCGGAGCCCTGGGTAGGTCAGCACGTACCAGTCAGAATAGAAGTTCTCTGACCTTCAGACCCCTTGTCTGGCAAGTGGGGACACAACAGAGGGGATAGAGAGGAAGACCCACGGCAAAAGAAATCCTCAAATCTCCCTCCAAGGGGAATAATAGAAGGGGGAAATAAAGTGCTTATTTCCCCAGAACAGTATAGCTTCCCCCATAGTTCTTCTACCCGCCAACTCACTGAAGGTGAGTGGGAACGCTTGTGATGGTGCTTCTTGCCCTTCCTGCCATGCCTTCGGCCTTTGGTGTGGAGGTGCTGGCATTCGGTCTGCTAGAGACAAGGATGAGGTGAGGGCAGTCAGCTTTAGCCTCAGGCAGTCCCATCTCCCTCCCTCAAGCTGGAGCCCCATGCGTATCCTCCCTAGATAAAGGAGGGCCGTGGGGTGAGAAGCCTTTAAGCACTGTGTTAAGCTAGTCTAGAAGTTTTAAGTGCCTGGAATGGATCTTGAGGGCAGGAAGCTTGCTCACCTCCAACACCTGCAGGAACTCCCGGAAGAGCCGGATCCGCTCCGACTCCAAGGTGATCTGCTCAAAGGCTGAGTCACACACAAAGCGCTCACGGACCTTGAACGGGGAGAGCACTGCTGATGAGACCAGGTTCCACCTGGCCTAGGTTGGACACCGCCACGAGCACAGGGCAGGGCTGGGGCAGTGGAAGGAAGGGAGCCGGAGCTGGGCCAGGGCAGTCTGTGACTGGGGTGGGCCCGCAGTGGTGAAGCTCCGCTGCCCTCAGTCTTGAGGGTGACGGGCGCCAGGCTGCACTCCTGACCTCTTCCCACGCAGTGCCCAGCTCCAGAGCAGGCACGGCCTGCCGCAGCATGCTTCGAAAGGCAGCTTCTCTGCGACGCATCCTTCGTGCCTCCTCCTTTTCTCGCTCCCTCTCCCGTGCCTCTGCTTTCTCCAGCAGCTAAGGGCAGAAGGGACACAGGACAGGATCACCCAAGAGGGTGGGTGCCTAGGACCCGTGCCCACACAGCCATTATCTCCCAAGCCCGTCAGTCGATGGGGCAGTGTAAACAGAAAAGGAATATGGCGCTGGGGTAAGTTAGAGAATCGGCCCCACCCTACCCAGCCCCTCACACTATTGAAGGTCAGCTTGATGTTGCCTGCGTCCAGCGCAGCAGCCCTCTTGTCAAAGCTTATAACGTGGGCGAAGTCCTCAAAGGCTGTGTTCACCTCCACACAGAAACCCCGGTCCTGTAGGTACAGTGGCGCATGAAGCAGGGAGCAGTGTGGCCTGAAGCAAGCCCACGGCTGACAGGCAGAGGAGTGACACGGGACTGACACCTCAGAAACCACGCTGTCCAAGTTCTCCTCTGACAAGCCCCATGCCTGCCCCTGGTCTGGATGTCACAGCTGAAGGGTTGAGAGGTGTCCCCACATCTGCTGACTGACGTCTGAGTTTCTCACAGTTAGCTCTTTGTTCCTTTGGCTTAAAGCTCTGGACCCAGCTGGGCTTTCCTGTCGCATTCTGTATCAACATCTGGTCCCTACCCTCTCGCTCTACTGAGTGCTTACTAGGTACCAGATAACCTGCTGAATGCTCCACACACGCTTAACCCTCCTGGTTCTCATAAGAGCAGGCTGACCAGGCAAGGAGACACACGCTTATAATCCCAGCATTGGGAGACTGAAGGAGGATTGCTGCAAGTTTGAGACCATTCTGGGTTACACAATGAGACCCTGTCTCAAACAGGAAAACGACAGGTCCTAGCCTTCTAGTTTTATACCTGCCCAAAATCGCAGCTAGACCTATGCCTGGGGAAAAATTCTACCCCAGGTCTAACTCCAAAGCCTGTACTTTCAAGCCTTGTGCTATCGCAAATACCCCTTGCACCCTGCTCTCACCTTCTCAAGCTAACTACCTCTGCTGCTGCTGCTTTTAAAATTTCTTGAAGTATAAAGAAAAATAAAAATATGTGTTGAGAGGCAATTTAAGCATGACACTTACCAAAGGTAACACTTTCCAAAGCCAACAACCTTGCAAATGGACTGTTCCCAATTTGCAGAAGAGAAAACAGGCTCAGAAATACAATACTTTGAAGAAGTCTCAGAGCCAATAAACAGCCAGGAGTCACTTGATTCTAAGATGTATGCTGATGCTGCCCCAAAGCCACTCCCTTTGTGGTGGTCCTTTCCCCAAATTTGCTCATGTTCTAACAGCCAAATCCAAGGGCTCCTGCTCGGTCCTCACCCTGGTCTTAGTGCTTTTGCTGTTTAATTCTTCCACACAGCCCTCTCTGGGTCCTCTTCTGTCACTTTTCATGTATGTACGTGTTCCTGAGAACAGTAATTTTCCCCTACTGATCCCTACTCTCCCCAGTAATCTAATCATTCCCCTCTGCTGGTTTCCAGATCTGCACTAGACTGGCTATCTCCCACATACTCCAACAGACCACAAGAGGATACATTTCTCACAAGCCCCACACACAGGGCCCTGTATTACCCTATAGATGAGGCACCACCAAGTCTACCTGGCTGTGGACAGCCATAGACTTACAGGCTCGTCTGTCCTGCTAAGGCAGAAGCCCAGATGGAGGAACAGGAAGCAACTCCCACAGAGATACTTTCTCAGGTGGTGCCAGGGGGATAGAATTCTGCAGGCAAAGTGGTGGTATAGCCCACTTTGTGACTAAAAGTTAACCATCCAATAAAATTTAGCTATCTTAGGGTTAGGTATTTCTAGTTCATAGTTACCCTATTTAAAGGGTATTTGCTTTACTCCTCCCTGCCCTAGGAGGGTTGCTTTTGAGAATAACTGTGCAAGTGGAATTAGTATCTCCTATTTAGTGCTGACCAGTGGTACCCATCATCCACTGCCCTGCCCCCTGCACATCACTCCTTTTTCCCTCAACTTCACAAAACAATCTGTCAACTACTTAGTAACCATCCCATTGGTTTTAAAGTTTTGGGTTTTGTTTTTTTTTTTTAACAAAAATTTTCAGTAAAAATCTTAGCATGTCAGTGCACAAGAGATGCAGGCCCCTCCACCTGAAAATAGGAATCAAAAAATTTCTCAATCTGAACCCCTACCCTGTGCTTATCTCTAGGCACCTGTGACTTCTCAAGCATAGCTCACCCTCTTGCCTGCCATTCCTACTGCCCCTGTCGCCTCGACTGCAGCAGCCACCTGACTGGTCTCCTTGTTTAGCCTCTTCCAGCCCTCTAGATCTCTGCTGCTCTCATTTTTGTACCAAACAGCCCTGGTAATGGGAGAGGTCCAGGGATGAGTCAGAAGATGACTTAAAGCTCAAAGCTTATTTCAATTACCTGTCACTGTCACTTTATTTTGAGGTTTCAAGAACTGTCTACCTACAACCTCCTCAAAAGACATAAATACTGCCAACTGGAAGGTGCTACCACGCTATGACCAGTTTTTTTTCTTTTTAGTAGTAGCTTTTCTAAAGAGACGCCATCTGATCTTATCATTATAAAATCCAAATTTCTTGGGCCAGGGATTTAGCTCAGTGGTTCTACCACCTACCTCATAAGCGCAAGGTCTCAAGTTCATTCCCCAGTACCAAAAAAAAAAAATCCAAATTTCTCTTTGTGACAGGGTCTCAATATGTGTCCAGGCTGGCCTCAAACTCATGGCAGTCTTCCTACTCAGCCTCTCTAGTGCTGGGCCTGTAGGCACATGCCACCATGCTTGGCCTAAGTTTCTTATTTAGCACTCAAAGGCACTACTTCACCGAGTATAATACGGCTCCAGAGAAACAGAAAACATCTTTCCTAATTTGTTAAAAGTTAAATGCATGTTATACAGGTGATATGGCATTACAATCCAACTTCAGGGCTGGAGATATAGGTCAGTGGCACCTCGCCTATCTCGCAAGTGCAAGGTCCCCGATTCAATCCCTTATACCAGAAGAAAAAAAAAAACACACTAAAAAACAACAACAAAATACAATTCACCCTCCAAGAAACACTGTATGTGGGACTTTTCTAACTTTATTCCCAGGTCCCTCTCCATTCAGGCAGCAAGTTCTGTTCCTCTGTAAGCGTCCTTTGGTGGAATACATTTTTTGGATGAGGAAACAGGCTCAAAAAAGGTTCAAAAAAGGTTAAGTGGCCTGTGTGAGGTCATACAATTAGTAAGATAGGCAGCAAGTTCTGTTCCTCTGTAAGCGTCCTTTGGTGGAATACATTTTTTGGATGAGGAAACTGAGGCTCAAAAAAGGTTCAAAAAAGGTTAAGTGGCCTGTGTGAGGTCATACAATTAGTAAGGGGTTAATCTGCAAGTTTACTCTATGCATTCTGCAAGTCCTGCTCCTAACCACTTTACTAGACTAATTACTCAAATACATTAGAATGTTCTTCACTTCCATAAGGAAATGCACTTTCTCACTCTTTTTTTTTTTTTTTCCCCCTTTTGGAACACGAGGCTCCCTTTACTTGCTTACTAATCTTTTCTAACTCTTAGTTTTCTGAGACAGGGTCTCTCTGTGTTGTTCAGGCTGGCCTTGAACTTACTCTGCAGCCCAGGCCGGCCTCAAACTCACTGAGGTCCTCCTGCCTTGGCCTCCCAAGCACTGGGATTACAGGTGTGCGCCACTACACCCAGCTTATCTTTTCTACTTTGATAGACAGGAACACTGACAACTATTTCTCCTGTGCAAAAATGTGACAGCGCATATGGGATAGTAAATGGCAGCTGACACTAATACTAAAAAAGCAGTAAGTATTGAGGAAAAAATGACATCCTTTCAGAGGGCAGTGGCATCTCAGGCTGAGTTCAGGGAATGACTTCAAAACCAGCCCAAAGCTGCCAGGTAATCTAAATTGACGGGAGAAGCTGAAACACCAGATTTTTATATGAAAACTCCTGATTTTAAAACATTAGCAATGAATTCCAAATTTTTCTAGAACTCTACAGGCTACAAAGAACATCTCTGGGCTATCCGCTTACACGAATCACTGTATTTCTTGCTCCTCAAACTTGCCCTGACCTTTGTATCTTGCAACTTCTGTTTGCTTCTGTGGCACCCTTATGCCTAAAACATTTCATCCCCTCCCCACCTACCCTACTCCTAAACAGGTAGTTCAAATATGTTAATCCTTCAGATTCCTCCCTGTAATAACACTTGGCCCTTTTAATCCTACAGGGCCGTGCACTCCTACGAGCAGAAATTGTGCCTTATTACTGAGTCCCTGGAGTGCAGGGCAAAAGTACAATTGGTATCTGCTGAGCAAGCTGCCAGATCCTGCAAAATGGGAACAGGACTTCTTAGGGAGTCTTGTCCAGGAAGCATGGCTCCCACCCAACCCTAACCCTGGTCGTCCTCACCTTTAGAATGTCCTTTATGATCTTCTTTTCATCATGGAATCGAGCCTTCAACTCCTCCACATAGAACTTGAACAAGTCCAGAGGGGTGGAGCCTGCAGGGAGGGAGGGAGGGGG